TAAAGTAAATACAAAATATTTGAGATTAAATTATAATAAAAAATTAAGAATTAAATTTATAACATGTGAGAATCGTTTTCAACTAATTGAATAATCTATGAGGGTGGATGTAAGCGCGAGGGCTTGAATATGCATAGAACTAAGAATAAAATTTAAACATCATTATTCATTAGTAGATAGACTTCGAAAATGTGGAAATGAGAGGACAATTTGCGCAGTACTGACTACCATGATTTATTTATTTGGCCTTCAAACGTATACATACATATATACATACACACACACACACACACACACACATATATTATATATCTGAAAATACTAAAGAATGTATAGTGGTTTTTTTCTTGATGGGCCAAGTATGTTTAATTGTCTGTTGGTAGACTAAAGTTGATATGTTGATTTTGTTTAATTCTTTTTTTTTTAATGTATATATTCATACCAGAGAAGTTAAATGTGAATGGGGTTAGGTTTTTTTAAAATATATATATATTTTTAAATGGAACAAAACAAAATATTTTTTTTAAGAGGAAATACTTATGCTACCAAGATTTCACATACTTTTCACTTGTACTAAAATTTGCATTTGCTTCACACACATACACTCATGGACATATACATGCACATAGACAAGAAAACATACAAACACTCTTTCTATATATGTTTTTCTCTCTCTTATTTGTCGAAACCATTAAATTCCATTTTCCTTCTTCTTTATCTTCATCGTGATAATAGGTGGTGATGATAATAATCTTCTTCTCTATAAAGTTCATAAAAAAACTAGCCTTATCTCTCTAATTCACTAAGCAAACATCATTTCTTGTCTCTTTTATTGTTTTTTAGCCCTTTGGTTTCAAACTTAAAAGTGTTTCACATTGGATATACTCTCTAGTGAACCACACTATATATATCATTTATATTGTTGGCGAGAGTATATAATTTAACATAATCATTATAAGTTGTTAATGTTCTATACAGATAAATTATTAATCCATGTAAGTTAAAAGTATTAGAAGTCAAGACATTTATATAAATAAATTTGATGCTTCAATTTATGATACTTGAGTAGAAGATGGAGTGTATACTTATTATCGAGTTCAACATCCATCACTTATATAACTAGTATTCTAAGTGTGATTTATAGACTTTGGGTTGTTTTTTTTTTTTTTTCAAAAGATTTATTGTCACTATCAAGGTCAATCACAATTGACAATATGGGATCATGAAGGATCCATGATTCTTAATATAGTAGCCCATGACAATGCTTCTCTATAGGATGAGCGATTTAGAAACATGTCTTCCTCACTACCTTGTGCCAAAAATCAAATGATTGTGAGGGTTCTTATGCCTTATTATCCTATTCTCTCTAGCTTTAGATGGAGGAGGGGCTTCAGGTAACATTTTGACTTACTGAACAAGAACATGAGATTATAAAGTATTCTTCTCAAACTAATACCTTATATATTTATTAAGATATAGATAAACTAATATCAATGGACAAGATAGTATAAATCAGAATTATCACTTTTTTTAAAAAAAAAAAATTGAATTAAGATAGTTCTTTTATTTGCATATTATCTTTAACATATATAACTACTGTTAGCTTTTAAACTCCATTTAATTTTTAAGGGAAGAGAAAAGAGAAGAAATGAAGGTCATGAAAAATAATTAAAAAAATAGTTTATCGTTTTTATTTTTGGATGCATAAAAAATAAGGGACGAAATAAATGGAGAGAAAATTAGTTAAGGCTTGCTTGATAATGAAATGTCCAAAAAAAATTTCTAACTACTTGAGAGTTTAATAAATAGGGCTAATATTGGAGC